GTTGCATCAGCAATGAATCCCACTGGGATTTCGGCTGATGGGGGCAGGTCAACACCACTGAAGCATCTAGTAACAGGACCCTGCGTGGTGCAACGCTTCCTGCATCCAGCTTTTTATCCCAACAAAGTTTATCCTGCATCATTCTACTCAGCTCCTTTCAGGGGGTTACATAGAAGATTATCTATGTACTATTATCGAGGTTACCTAGTGTGCGAACTGCCATTGGCCGTTAAAGCGTCGTGGCCTAGCAGCCTGAAACCTTGAAGCCTCAAGCCAAAAGCCGCAACGTTTGGTGCAGAGGTACACGCACACCAAAGATACCTAAACAGAGGAGCCGGCACCTTGTTAGAGGATCCTATACTACACCCCTCCTTCCCTGTTTTCCCCCCAAAATACCCTAAATGATATGCCGTAATCACGGCCTACTTCGGCTTGTGTCTGAGAGGGTTTTGGAAAGAGGGGTGGTAGTATAGAATCCCATGCCATAATAGGAACCCTAAAACCCTAAACACCCCTACACCCCAAACCCTAATCCCTAGCCCCTAAACCCTAAACACTGAATCCTAAAGAGCCCACAACATCTGCAGGCCATTGCTTGGCTCTACGATCGCCGGATACCCGTCGTCTTAATGGAGCGACAGCGGGGTGCCAAGAGAACATCTTCATGGGGGTTGAAGTTGGTTTACTATCCCCCAATCTAGGATTTGGGGTTTAGGGATTGGGGTTTAAGGTAAAGAAGTATAGGGTTATATGAGCCACACTCTGGCCTCCTGAAAGGGGGCTATATGGGGGCGTTACTAAGGGTGATACTAGGATTTCAGACTATAGCTCGTCTAGAGATAGCGGAAAGAAATTCAGGGTATCGGATTTAGGGCAAGGTTACTCTGTCTGGCCTTGAAGAGGTTCAAGTGATTTTCTTAAATAACTTGCAGGCACCCTTCCTGAGAGTGTGGGGCAGCCTTCAACTGAAGTGGACCTGGGATACATCCGGTACAGCCAACCCCCCAAAGACCTAAAGATAAGTTTGTGAGGAGTGTTCAGAGTAACAGCAAAGCAAAGCGAGCCACCAACACAGCTTCTGGTTTAAAAGATGAGCTTAGGGACCTGAAAAGTCTAGCTCAAGGAAAGGGTCTCTGCCTCCAGGGCTCTTTCCTGATTTCGTCAAGAAAGTGCTCGCTGCAAACTCGCCTGCCTTCCCATCGTCAAGAGGGTATGCCAATCGGTGCTTTCACAATGACGTCTTGGAAGCCACATCTTGGAAGAATGGTGGAGCGGCACTTTACCCAGAATTCCAAGCAGGATCCAGCCAAGTCAAGCAAAGTTGGAGAGGGTGCCGTCAGGGCCAAGGATATCCCCAATGTTAAGCCTCAGGACTCGAATCTTCCCGCTGATCTTCGACATGGACTTGAAGGTAACATCACAGGACGCATGGGGATCATATGCCGTGTCAAGCAGATTGGCTCGTAGAAGTGCAGGGGCCTCAGGGTTGAGGGTTTACGGTTCAGGGCTTCTGGCCTGAGTCCTCCTCAATACATTCCTCTGCTGGGGACAGAACAGGCCGGATGTTTGACTTGCTCAAGTGGCTGTCTGGGCCCGCATGTTCAAAAGCGCAGAGCATTTTCCGAGTACAGACCCGCAGCAGAGAAATATTTCATTTGAAGATACTATGTTTCCCAATATAGAGTAGAAATATATCAGCATTTTGAGTGAAGTACTTTTTATACAGAATTTCCTGTTATTTGGCTCAACAAACCACAAACACCGCCCAACAGTTTTTGACATGTTCGATGAGATGTCTGGTGGAGGACATGTTGGATGCGGTGCCCAATCGAATAAAGCGGACAAGGTCCATGCGTCCTTCAGTCATCAATTTTGTTTAGGTGGAGCCCTCCCCTGCAATAGTGATAATAGAGGAGTATAAGAGGACCCTCTTCTAATCAATGGTATCCCTTATAATCACTATTGCAGGTTGGGGGTTCACCTAACGTTTTGTGAGTGTTGCAGGCAGCTATGTGAATGGAAATAGTCATGTCCACTCGATTTGTTTTCATCAATCACATCCGTTGTCTTGTTGAGATACTGGTGCCAACATCTCTGCACATACCCTCGTTCCAAGCACATGACTGGGGCATTGTCATCACTTGAAGTCTTTGCAGGGTCCTTTGTATGAGGACGACAAAGCCGACAGGTTACTGTCACCTTCTTGATGATGCAACTTTTTATGCAATCCCTTCTCACGTGAAAAAAGTTTCGGCAGTTCCCCTAGAGCAGGGCAGCATTAGACCAGCTAGGACTAGCTTCTTAAACCACGAGGGGCTTGTATGCCCCTTATTTCAATTCCAATGCCCACCCCATGCAGACCCAGTTTCCATGTCATTTTCAATCATCCTTTCCATTTGGTTCTCTATGCTAAAATTTGAACATGCGCTGAGCTCTAAACCCTGATTCTCACACCCTAAATCCTAAATCTAGAGTTGCTTAAATGGGATCCTTTAGATCCGGCATAGCACGCCAGGCCCTGGCGTGGTTGCGTTGACTTCTGCCGCTGGCATGGTGCCGATCATTTCGTGCTTAGCAAGGAGACAGGGTTATGTAAGTGATATTTTGGGTTGTATAAGGTATGCAGGAATTGTACAGCGATGACGTAGGGTAATGTGTTGGGGTCTTAAGAGTCTTTCTGGTTTAGGGTCTTAGGAGGCTGGAGAGTCTACAGGGTTCAGGGCGGTTTAGGGCTTGAGGTTTAGAGTCTACACGGTTCAGATCTTTGAGGAATATGATTCCATAACTACATACTGTATAGCGTCTGATGGGAGATTAATTAGTCAGGCTCCTTCATTCTACAATGGAGCCCTAAACCCTAAACCCTAAACCCCTAAACCCTAAACCCTAAACATGACAGCATGCCAGACCAGACGATCCCTGCATGGAGGACATGCTCCTGCTGCGCCATCTGGGGATGATCGTCTTCCAATTCTTCCCGGACCTCCTGCTGTTTGTCCTGAGCCCAATGTACCCATTGGGGTAAAGTTCGGGTGTATTGGGGATCAATTAGGATGATGGAAAATAACATGGAAACTACTATTTAGGGTTTAGGGTTTAGTGTTCAGGGCTTGGCTCAGAATATGATTTCCGCTTGGAGTCCTCTTTATAATGCGGTAGCTCACATCTAGGCTACTCGTCTTAGCAGCTGTCACTGGTTGCCATGGCCCTGGGAGCAGATGCTGCGGTGTGACGTTTTACAGCATTCCTGTCGAAGAACTTAACTTAAGTTACCCAAGCAGGGAAGCCCAGGGGTCACTGTATATCCATCCTACCTACGGCAACTTCGCTCGAACCAAGCAATATCCTGATGAGGCCGCATGACAAAGTAGACATAGCTGCAATCCTCGAAACTCCCAATCCTGAAGCCCCAAAGCCGTCTCGGTAAAACCTATACACTATCAGTTACTACCAAGGGTTGAAAGGCCGGCACAAAAGATCTGCAACAAGCATGGTTTAGGGTTTAGGGTTCAGGACAGGCAGAATTCAACACGCACCAGAATGGTCTAGCATAACAATGAGAAACCTTCAATAACAACCCAAACCCCTTAATCTCCAAACCTCCGCATCCCGAAGCCTTGAACCCCTGAGCTCTAATTCCGCAGGATCTCCCTCTCATTGATTTCTGCATCTTCAATGCATCTGGTTGGGACAGAGTCAAAGAGCTCGTCAAGGTACGATGAGATGGGAGGGGATAGATTGTAGGCTGCAGGTTCCTTGAATCTCGAAGGAAGCATAGACAGCCTACAAGTTCTACATTGCTAACGATGCGGAACCGTATGTTGGTTGATTGAGAGTCGAGAGCTTCACGTCTTGGTTGTTGGTAGGGGATGCAGCTATGGATCCTTTCAGTAGACTCAACATAGTAAGCAATAATGTAGTAGTTTCCATTGCTTTCCGCTTCTTCAATCCCTACTAGCAAACAGCAAGTCTCCACCTGGACAAAAACAGGCTAGGGGTACAGATTTGAGGAAGACTTTTCATTACTTGCCAGTCGGGACACGCCGCAACCCTGCTCGGCGTTCCGCATCCACGAGCCATTCGACGTTAAATGATTCCTAGGTTTCGCTTACTGTAAAGTGCCATAAACAACTGAAACTAACTTTTGGAGGGTTCCAGAGTATAGCCCCAAAATAGTAGTTTCCATTTTCTTTTCCATTATTCCTATAGAACCCCTATACCCTACCCCCCAAAAAAACTCTAAACCCTATACCCTAAACGAAGCTGTGAGCAGGTCTCGCTGCATTTGGTGGCCCCCTATGTGTCAGAAGCCAAGAATCTAGAATCAAATTAAATGGCACGGAAAACTGGGGGGTTGAAGGTTTAGAATTTAGGTTACGGGTTATGGGTGTAGGACTTGGGGACTCGTCTGGCTTAGGGATATAATGTAAAAGCACACGGAAAGAACATGGTTCCGGAAATAGAACCTGGGCGTATAGAAATTATGCTGGGTCATTGCTGGCAAGCCCCACAGGGAATATGAAAATAATTGTTTTAACGGTGTGCCAATAGAGAACAATTTCTTTTTTTTCCTCAGGTTGTTGGTCAGACTTGGTTTGGGGATGAATAGAGGGTTAGAAGAGTGCAGAGGGGGGTGTTGTGCTTGAAGGTTTGAAGTTTCTGAAAACAGCGGGCCTCTTCTTCGGCGCCCTGCCCTGCCAGGGCCAACTGATGCTTGTTTTTTTCTTGTGTGGCTGACGCAGATGCAGGCTGGTGACGCCCGATCGCCTGACCGCAATCCGGGAAAGAATGCTTGAGTGCGCCATTCCGATCTGTCGCTTCTTCGAGCTTCATGTTTTCGCCAGTTTTGACTGTGCCGAAAGGGACCTTTGAATATGAAACGCTGGGAGCGCTAACTGTTGTTGGAGAAAGGGGTTCACCCCTATAGTCATCCCATGCGCATTTCAGTAGATGTCATGCATCATCTGTCTATTGCTCTGGTAAGAGGATTCACATGGCAGGTACCTGGGCGAGTGCTCCGAGGTGGAGGGCCATCCGCTGGCAAAGCTTCTGCAGACCTACGTGCGCGAGTCAGAGGCAGATGCTGCAGTGGAATGAGGGACGTCTCCAGCTTGAGTGTTGGATTCTGAGGCAAAGGGACATTCTGCGAGATGTTTTTTGTGAGTAATCTTGAGCTTGTCCAAACACTCTCTGTTGTCAAATTGATTCTGTATATTCTGTAAACGTCCAGGATTGAATACCGCCCCTCCACCGACAATATTGCAATGGTAGTGATACTATGCCTCGTTATATTCTCGTCCTTTCGAACTCTGGGAGCTTCGTGGATGCTTTCATCATTGTGAATGTGTGATCATTCTTGCACTATTATCGGGTGCTGCTGTTTGAAAACATTGACAGGACAACACCTGGGACAAAGTCGTCGATCAAACAGTGACCAGTGGAACAAACGGCCTTCGCATGCCGTGACTTGGCCGCAGCTTCTGAAGGACTTTGAATCCTAAATCCGAAGCCCCATTCCCTAAACCTCGAGAGTCTGCAGCTAGCTGCCAGAACTGATTGGTTCTGGACGCAAAGGATTTCTGCATGTATCAAGGGGGCAACCATCCGGTGCGGTCTGAACCCTGAGCCCTGAACAAAAACATGGAGGTCTGAAACCTACAACCCCTATACCTCGGAACCTAAGCAGTTTAAGGCTTAGGGTTCAGGGTCCAAACTTCATGCCGCCGAACCCTAAGCCCTAAACCCCTGAACCCTTATGCAAACCTTGTTAGTGGGTAGTCCCCAGGCCGCTAAAAATTGACTTGCCCTTCCGAATACTCTAACTAAACAAGGGACCCTTGACTATAGTTGATGGTCAAAATCGTGAGTGACGTAGGAGTACAATACCACGATACTTCCTAAAGTTTATGTATATGGGGTCATGCATCAATGGCACTGAGTGGGGGCTTGGAATCCTTCATACTCTTTCAGGGCCTGGTTTTCCTTACTCATACCGGCAAAGAAGGATGAATATTCAGTTCCCTTCTAACAACAAGAAATCGGCAATGTACCTTAAGGTAGCAAATTGAGCAAAGGGGGGAGGCGGGGCTTTGCTGGTGTAAGAGGGGCCTAAGCAATCACCGATATCAAGGTCCTGGCTCCCTTGTAGAATCATTATGCCGTACGCGTACCTCAAAGAGACCTCATCATGACATGAGCTACAGTCTAAACTCCTCTAAGGGGGTTATATAAAGGATTATATGGGGGACTACTATGGGATTATTCAGGGGGATATTTCGAGTTTATAGAATGGCTCACCTTTGTATTTTTTCGGCTACGTTATTCGGGAAGAAGTCCAGTGTAGGCTGGCCCTTCGCATGACATCTTAGAAGTGCTTCGCTGGACTGTTTTTCTTCTAGGAAGGTTTGGGAATCTGTCAAACACTAAAACCTTAAGGCCAATCCCCATAGATCCTCTCTCACGATTTGGAATATCGCCGTGTAATACCATGATACTCCTATGTATTTATTGTATACTGCCACAACTCTTTAACAGCAGGATTAATCTTTATAATATAGCTATATGTAGCCCTTAATCTGACCCCTATTAGAGACTCCTAATTGGCAGGGGCAGGACCCAAGATACCGTAAACCCATCGTATTCATTGTCACGTCCGGGGACCCTAAACCCTACACCCTAAACCCTCTGTCCCTGCATAGTCCCTCTGCCCATGGTGGGTCAAGGTACTGCGACAAGGCCCAGCGCAGCGCGTGGCCCAGTTTTGCAAGTGATTCCCCCAAAACAGCCAGGACCCTCCTTGTACCCTTAATTGGGGATATATGGTCCCAAATAGTAGGTACTTAGGCCCAAATAGAGGGTAGTTGGAGGGTCTAGGAGTACAGAGTTTGGGCTTAGGGTCTGGGGTTAAAGATTAGGTGGCCCCAACGGTTAGTAATAGTATTCAGTTTGGGGACTTGCAGAAGGTTTAGGTTGTAGAAGATTTCGCTGAATAGTGCATAGTAGAAGGGGTCCTGCACAAGTTTCTCCACGTGCAAACACCTGGTTAAGGCAGAGTCTCACGGGCCGCGCAGGTTGAGTGTATTTGTCTTGCCTCATGGATTCTTGGCCTTTCGTGTTGCATGGCTTGTGACGTTTTGATTTCTGGTGTTGTTGCTGTTCATTTCCACTACTGCTGCTGCTGCTGCTGCTTCCATGGCTGCGACTACATTGCTGCAACCGTGGAGATCAAATTTGTCATCGTGGTATGCTTGGCACGTCTACAATTCGAGCAGTTCGCGACGACAAACTACGACTTGTCCTACACGACCCTCAGCACTTACTGGTTCTCATGAGGAAATGAGGGAATACCATGCCTATATAACCCCTATATAAGATATTCCCTTATTCCCAACTAAGAATCAGCAAGCGCAGCTTAAGGAAGATGCTCCTCGTTGTAATAAGAATCACGCGCTTGCCTGATTGCTGCTCTGGCTTATACCTTCAAGCTAGCTTCGGTTTGCCAAGAATTGCCAGTACAACGCACTTATCCTCCCCCACCCAACATGAAAACCTAAATAGGCCCGTTTTGGAAAGACAATAATCTTTGCAGGCCCCCCTGTGGGCTTCCATTTTAATGTCGACCTCGCATTGATCTTTCTCCGTCCCACGGGAGCACCGGAAGAAGAATGCCAGAAATGCACGTTTCAAAGCTTATTTAGAGTTAAATGCACTTTTTTGGTATATTTTAATTGTGGGGGGAATTATAATTGTGTTCCTGCGAAGGGAATTTTACGATTGAGGGGGGAATTCTTAATGTAAAGTCAACATTACGAACCTAAGGCACTGCGAGAGGGGGCCTTTCAGGATCAGGCTTGGTAAGCCAAGAAAGACTCCCGCAAATTTTCCACATTTTGCCAGGCCCCGTGAGGGAAGGGGAAAGCCCTCAAGAATATCATAATCCTTATTGCGTGCACCACCGAAAGGTACTCCTAATTGTTGAGGAGCCCCAAGCCCTGTATAAACCCCATATAACCTCAATACAGCCCTCAATTCTGGGAAATCCCTAAACCCCAAGGCCTGAACCCTAAACCCTAATCCCTAACCCTAATCACTAACCCTAATCCCTAACCCTAATCCCTAACCCTAATCCCTTAACCCAAAAAAAAACCCAAATCTCCATGTCATGAGAATCGCTCAGTCCTCAAGCGGGAGTTTGTGGAGCGCAAGCAGCGGGGAGAGGTCTTGGGGTGTAGAGTGTAGGGTTGCTGTTTAGGGTTTAGGGCTTAGGGTTTAAGTTACCAGGATATGGGTATGTAGTGAATGATATGGTCTTCATATAGTAGTAGGTTAATTTACGGACCTTAACAGCAACCCAATTTAGGGTTGAGGTTCGCGGGTATAGGATTCATAAAGTAAGGGCTTAGGTTTTTTGGATTGGGGTTCTGGTGCTTCAGATAGTTTCCCAAAATAGAAGGGCTCTAATATAGACCCCCTAGACTACTCCTATAACCCTTATTATAAGGACCCCCCTCTTGTGTCAAGGCTTTCCCCGCTGAGAGGGCCGGGGTTCGAGTTTGGCAAATGTGATCAGTACGGGGTTTTCTGTTATATGGGTTGCGTTACTTCCAGCGACACTTAGATATCTACTAGAGCAATGTACCAAATTCTGAGAAGGTCATGCGAACCAAGTTGAACAAAGTAGGAATCGGCGGGATGGTTTGTTTTGAGCCCAATGACAGCTTGTGTACGGAGCCTCGGCTATAGTTGATGTGGAAGAGGCTACTTCTATGGGCTCCTGTTTTGGGCAGTTTCCGGATGGTGCCGCAGGGTAGAAGCATTCGTTGATGAGTGAGCACACGCCTTAGGGCATATGTTGGGGTTTCCTATGGTTTCCCTCCTCCTGCGAGGTTTTGGCATTGAAGCAGGTTGCTTAATAGCAGCTCTTTCTTCTGCGGTCCTCGAGCTCCACAGTTCTGAGGCAAGCCTAAGCCCAAAGCCCTCAACCCTCCACCTCAGGCTGGATTTTTAGTATCAACCGCCTTGAGTCCTAAACCCTAGATGTGGGTTTGTTCTTTGTTCTAAGTTATGGGCTTCTGTTGGACAACCTGATCAATATGGAACCCAAAAGGGGATCGTAATTTGGAACATATCCCTTAAGGCCCTTAAGCCTAAACCCAAACCCGAACAGCCCACAGATCCCTACAAACCCTTTCATGGGACACAAATCCCAATATTCATCCCTATAAAACCCCTAAACCCTGAACCGTAAACCATACACCGTAAACCTCAAGTTCTAATCCAATCGCAGGTCTTTACCGAGCGTCAGCTGCAGGACCTCCACGCATATCTGAAGGAGGAGGCTCATCAAGCACCAACATCGTGCTCTTACGCTGTGTTGGGGTGTAGAGTTTAGGGTTTAAGGCTGACGGTTCAGGGTTTAAGTTATCATAATGGCCATATAGTAAATGATAGGGTTTCCTTACTGTAGTAGCTTACGCCAAGTTCCTTAATAGCAACCCAGCATTGTCCTCTTATGAAGGGGGTGTGGTGTTTTGAACTTGGATCTTGGGCTGCACCTGGTCTTCAATCTCATGCCTTGGATACTGCCCCTCACGAACAGTTGGACAGTTTTAGTAGATTATGAGTGTTATAAAGCCCTTAACACTTCCCCTACTAGGGCCTGTAACTGGGTTGGGGCACCCTAAACCCTAAACCTTAACTAAGCCCAAAACCTGTTAAGTGGCTACGCAACTGATGCTTTGCGACTTCAGCCCCTGCCTTCCCAAGCCCAGGTTCAACATCTGCACCCAGGTTGTTTAGGGTTTAGGGTTTAGGGTTCCCACATGGTCCATGTAGGTTCATAGTATTTACCCTTAGCCCAAAGGGGCTTCTGTATAATTACTTTGGGGCCCAAGTATATACTTTATGCTTGCATGGACCCTTTCTTTGGGATGTACATGGAGCCCTGAAAGGCACCCTATCAAACGACTATTGTCCTCATAGGCCCTTCCGGGGCTTCTACGTCATAGTGAGTTGGGGCTAAACCTAAAAGCCCTGCACCCTAAATCCAAATCCTAAGCCTTCCACCCGGCACTCCATGTCATAGAGCCCCAAACCCCAAGTTCTCAGCCCGTAACCCTAAACCCCACAAACCACACCCTAAACTCTAAATAGTAGTATACATTTTCTTGTCCATTATCCCTATATAACCCTATATTCATAACCCTATATTCTACCCCTATGTAACCCCTAAAATCCTACAGGGCCCCTCAAAACCTCTGAGATGCAGAGGCTGGACGACCCTGTCTACCCGAGGGCATCCTCCGACTGATCCCAGTCGCAGACCACAGACGTGGGGCTTTCCATGTTTAGGGTTTCTGGGTGTCAGGGTTTAGGGTTTTAGGGTTTAGGGTTTCAGGGTTTGGGGGTTTAGGGTTTTAGGGTTCAGGGTTTGAGGTTTTCAGGGGGGTTTAGGGGTTTAGGCAAGTAGGGTTCAGGGTTCATGCAGCAACTTCAGTGACCACGGGGTCCCTAAATGAGGGTTAGGGCGTAATATAGGGGCTTAAATATTTTCCAACATTATGGTTCCATATTCCTTGTATAAAGGCAGTATATGGTACCTCAAATGGACCTCAACATCATATTGGTAATTATTTAGGCGCCTGTAGTAGGGTTTGGGGTTTCGGGTTGAGGGTATGTCTTCACTCCAGCTTTACTTGCCGATTCCTACTTGAAAGGGGGTGAGCCCTACGTGGGCACGAAATTATATGTTCCCTATTATCAAGGCACTCCCCACAACGGGGCCCCCTCTTTTAATCCCCAGATGCATGTCAGTTTCTTGATGATGCGCGGTCCGTTGTCGGGACATCCTGCTCAACCCCTGAGCAGCAACAAGTTTGCTGTTTCAGGTAAATGGACTATCCTAAGCCCGAAGCCCCAGACGCCCAACAAGAACCTCCAACACGCCCCAGTGGCCCCAGACCCTAAGCAAGAGCCGTTTCATGATTGTTCAGATCGCGTAAGAGTCGTAGCTACAGGAAAAATTGCAGTAGCCATCAGCTATCAGTTTGCCACCTTAGATTTCCGCGACACAGCCCCAAGCTCAGAACCTGAAGCCTTAGATAGGCTTAAGAGACTTTTGCCCCTAACCATTCCTCGGGGAAGTCTCAATGTTCCCCCTTCGACTGGGATCTGAAGTGCAGGTATGCCGCATAAGTCTAGGTTCCTAACCATGGGCCCCTTACTATGGGCCCCTGCGGGTTTCCTGGATTCTAACTAGATGCCGTTAATTGGGTTTGTCGGGTTTACAGGGCAAGAGGCGTCCATAATTTGGAGAACCCCAAAGACCTGAGCTCTTTGCGGCTGACTCGGTTCGTCTCAGGCTAAAAATGTTGAGGATGACGACGCACTTCCTGAGGCAGGGTTTTGCGATTTCAAGGGTTGTCACAACTTCAGCACTCGGGGCTGAGAGAGGAAGAACCGTTACAAGAAGACCCTAAACCCAAAAACTAGGGTCCTTTCGTATGACCGAAAGTATCGTATAGTCCCAATACAAAGATGAGGTTGGTTTTTGTGTGTGTGAGCAGTACCACTAAGAAATGAGGCTTTATATACCTTTGGTTATGGAAAAGAAAATGGAAATTCATATGCTGGATTTTATGGGGACCGCTACAAGGGCTCATTCCTTCATTCCTGCATTAACCACAGGTAAGTTATGGTCAAACTGGCGGGCATTACCAAGACGTGTGAAGATTTGGTTGTAGCGCTCATGGTGTTTCCTCTCAACATTGCAAGTATCGGCCCTGCAGCTTCTTACTAAGGTGCGGGGGAGCCGTGATAAGTACTTCGATCTACTTGACTCGCCTGGAGTAGTTAACCTGCATAATTTCCAGTAACATTTCCTCACAGTTTCTTGAGCTGTTTACGCGAACCACCACTCAACTCGCGTGGGCTGGTAGAAAACGTCGATGTAGTTGACAGTGCTGATGGGTCTCACGAGGTGTTTGCGCAGCCCTGTGTTCCTGGAGGATCCCCTCAACCTTAAGTCTTGGGGTCTCCTTCCTTCAGGCTATGGTTCTCAAGGTGCAAGGGCAAAAAGCATTTTCGGGGAATCAGGCGGCCCATCATTAACTTTTAGTTAAAAGCAGATGCTAGTTTCCCTAGATCGACCTTCATAGTTCTTCGTTCACCTGTGATCCAGGCGCGGTGGATGTGCAAAGGTGAGGACCTCCCAATCGACGAATGGATTCGGTTGGGAAGGCCTCACTCGCCCGGATGTCAACAAGTCCAGTGACTGCAGAAGCTTGGGCAGGGTTTAGGGCATTCTCGCGCACACCCTTGGTTCTCTCCCGGGTTAATGGAGGGGGATAAGATTGGCCTCTGCCCAGGGTTGGTGGCTTAGCCAGGTCGAGGAAGGGGGCCTGCCCAGACAGTTGCACATTTGTCCAGGAGCTTCTATAAAGAATTGACGTTACTTGAAGCACCCGCGATAGGGATCCTCACATGTGCCCCTGACTTCCACCCCAAAGAAAAGAGCTTCGTGAGCATCTCAACAGTGGCTGGCGAATCCCAGCTAATCTTCTTGAGGTTGCTCTTACGCAGCTGTACTGCATCCCTACTAGTACCGATTATGTAGGTAAGACCCTATGCATCCGTGTAACGCGTGTGGCTTCGAGAACCTGAAGCCTAAACCTTGAAACCCAAGAACCTGAAACACCCAAAGCACTGGCAGTGTTCGGCAGGTGTCGTTACGCTTGGCGCCTACCGTTGGCACCTCCAGGCAAGCAGAGTGGCAATGCGCCTTAAATAGCTGGAGAGAATAGGGGCTCTACCAGATTTCTGGCCACGAGATGATTGATCCCATGCTCTAACATGTAAGCATTCCCCCCAAGCTCTCAATGATGAGGCAGAAATTGGCTTTCCAGTTTCCTATATTATAGTATGTGGGGAGGATTTGTTATTCCATGGGCCCGGGTCTCCGTACTATAGGGGAGGAGGCATTCGGTGAGGTTTGAGTTAGGGATTTGCAACTTCCGGCAAGAAAGTTACTGTTGCCTGCTCCAGGATGAAGGGAGCGGGATGGGAGTTTGGCTTTGAGTCCATCTTGGTATCCAGTTATCCCGTTCCAGGCTGAATCCACAGTTGCTTCCCATCTGTGTTCCCTGAATTCAAAACCCTAAACCCTGAACCCAGGGTCCAGATGCAACTTTTGAGGGAATCCTTTGCCTCCCCACACTCTAAACCCGAAACTTTGAAGCCTATAAACCTAATTAGCCCTACTGCCAAAAATCCGGAAAGCCCGAATAGACCCTGAGCCTTAAGCCCCAACTAGACCAAAACCTTGAAACAGCCCTAAACCCAAACCCTAAGCCCTAAATCACAGAGCTGCTCATTCGGAGGCCCAACCCCCTGGCGACCCCCTCTTCGCTACCAGTGCAGCCCTTGAAAGGGCTACTCTTTGAGGGGTCCCGGGGGTTTGTAGGGGTATTTTCTAAGGATTATAGGGATAATGGAAGATGAAATGGAAACTACTATTTATGGTTTATGGTATAGGTTTGAGGGTTTAGGATTTGGGGCCTTTTGAACAGGACTTTAACTTTTGCCTCAAGCCCAGCTAGGAATACACAATTATTTTCTGTAGTAGTGTTTCGAAAGCGATCTAGACGCAGGACGGAATTCTTTCGGAGGGTATGTGCGGGTGTGTAGGATTGAGTCTTTCGGGTATGGGGAGGTAGAGATGGTACTATAGTTTACCAGGGCATGCAGGATTTTAAGTATGAAGCGTAGGTTTCCTTGAGAACAGGAGTGCGCATGCGTAAAGGACCGACTCTTCCAGGTTTGCAGAGGCTCAACTTGTTGATTCTTGGTAAGGAGTATGGGAATATGTTTTGGTATTATCTAGCAATGATATTCCCATCATGTGAATCCATAGTGGCTCTACGACCTCATTGGCTCAATGCCCGGTCATGAGCAATCAAAAGCAGGGTTTTGACCTTCAGTTCTATAGCCTTTTGCAAGATTTAACATCCACAAACCCTTAATACACCCTAAATCTTAATCTCCAAGCCCAAATCCCCGGAACCCAATCCCTAAATCCTGAGCCCTGAAGGAACCCTGAGCCCTAAACCCTAAACCCTAAACCCTAAATCCTAATCCCTAAATCCTGAGCCCTGAACGAACCCCGAGTTGTTGCCGAGGTGGGTCGAGCCTTCCCCTTTGTGGGAGGCAGCGCTGCAGTTTTGGTGTTTCTTGGTTCTAGAGACATACTATGTCTTGGTTGTGGTGGTTGTTGCTGCTGTTGTTGTTGTTGTTGCTGCTGCTGCTGTTGCTGCTGTTGCTGCTGTTGCTGCAGTTGTTGCTGTTAAAGATGAAGCACGTATTGCTTGTTGTTTATCTTGTGGAACCAAATACAGGTTACAAGGCGGTCATCGTTTATAGAACCTCAACAATATTCAAGAGATTGGGCCGTTTTTTCAACCCCCCTATGTAGAAAGCGTATATAGGCTTCCTTAGGAAGATTGGTGAGTGTACATGTTTAGTGTCCTGTTGGGGAGACCAAGCCTAAACCCTAAACCCTACCTTACTGCATGGGGGTTCATGTGACCATAGGGATGCGTATAGATTAGTTCTTCTTATGTATAGATTAGGTGGACCCACCACCCAGTAATAGTGACTATAAGGGATAATAAGGATTATATTTGGGTCCTCTCATATTCCTAATACACCACTATTACAGGGTGGGGGGTCTCCTAATGTATAGACTTGGAATACAATGGTGTCCTGTACACGCCGTTTTAGTGCCTGGAAGGAGAAGTGACGCGTGAACAGCAAAAGCACTACTCTGCCAAGGATAGCATGGAAATCATATAGCCTCTGAAGAAGACCGTGGTCTTGATGGGGCTAGTTTCGATTGCGTTCCAGTTTAGGTTAGTGCAGGTGAGATTTCCTAGCCAGCCTCGGATGCTGCTTGCGAAAGCTATGGCTCAGAGGGATTGCGTACATTACTGTCCTGGATTCCGTGAAGAAATATGAAATACCTGGGGTGCTGGAAGCAGACCTGAAAATGGGCTATGTGCAGGAGAACCATGAGAGATCAATAGTTCTATGAATACGAACAAGGATGATGTTGGTGCTTGGTGTTTATGCTGCTAGTCCTAGTTTACGCAATTGCCATCTCATGGACCTTCACCATGACCAGTCTCGCGATTCTATTCTTGTCACTGTTGTTACGGGTTCGTAGGACCTTTATTGCAGCGCTTGTAAGGTTTAGTAGGGCGTTTCTCATTATCATATTCTTTTCCTGCACGTCACATCCAGGACGCTGGAAGTCCTACCATGCTTTGTTTGCGACTGGCGGCAGGGGAGGTGGAAACGGAAGTGCCCTAGCCACAGCTGTCGGCAGCACTGGCGGAAAATCTAGCTCCGCAACATGTGCAATGTCCATTGTGCCATGTGCAAGGCGTTGCTGCAGCTAAAAGACCTGTCCTCTGGCCCGCCTTGGCCAAGCCAAAGGGAAGGCCACAGCTCCTGGAAAGACTGGCCGCGATGACAGGTGTCTGGAGACTGTCTGTTTTACAGTGCCTGGGTATGCTGCTGTGACTGTCATAGTGCAGAACTGCAGCGACTTCAGGGCCTCATACCCAAGGATCAGACATTGAACGCGCCAGCGAGCACTGGTCAGCAGCAAGAGGCAACGGCACGGGCCTCAGATACTGGCAGGCCAGCCAGCATGGGTGGCGAGGAAGATGCAACGAGCGCTTTCTCTGCATGTGATTGCAGACATCTTGAGTCAGAGCCTCGCATCTGCCAGATGTTTTGCGGCGCAATTTGGCACTGCGCCATGGGCTGGGTTGAGCCAGGTGGTTGGGACAGAGCAAGTCATTGTGCATCTTGCGATTGAAGCTTTACACACGTCTTGCAGCTGCTCACGTGCACATCGCAGACTATGCAAAAAAGTGGCTGGCAGGGAGGCATGTTTATCTTCCAGTTGAACAGCAAGGTTTTGCACTCTCCAAGGAGTGGCCGTCGAGATTTCAGGAGATCAGTGCCAAAATTCAGAGCGCGGTGGACCTGCAGTTGCAGGTGAACCACGATGGTTATCACCCTCAAGGTGTCCAGCATTTGAAAACCCAACCTGCACTCTTTGAAGAGAGGCTTGGGACGCAGGAAACTGTTCTGCGCTTGGGCCATGAGAACATTTCAGCACTGGCGGAAGAGCAATTCAAAGCAGCCACTTCTCTTGACGTACCGTCGCAGCCGTTTGACCTGCAGGGCTGGTACTATGGTTGGAGGACTCAAAATTCTGGCCGGACTTTGACGCAGAGTACTTTGACTTTTTCAAGATGCCAAGGTCGAACGCGGCAAGCCACAAGTGGTACAGCGATGTATACAACGCCTGGAAGAAACTTGTGTGGGGCC